GGCAGAGAAAAGAATATTTTATGGCTGTTAAACATTTTTATTTTTAATTTTAACAGAAGATGGGAGTTTAAATAAAAAAGAATGTTAGTTTTCATAGAAAATAATGTTACAACTGCAGCAAGATTTTACTAGTCTGACAAGCATGGCAGGAGCGCCTCGTGTTTATAAGTATGCAACTGCACAGTGATAATAAAACAGAACTTTAAATATGTGGGAGTTACTGACATTCGAACAGCTACCTTTATATCATCAGTACAATTTTGTTCTGTAAAATCTGGACTGTTAGCAATGACAAGGATGAGTAACTACAACCACAGGGGAATGTTTACTCTGAAGGGAACTGTGCGTGACTGAAATCATCACCTAAACTGCACAGTGCGCTGCTTTTACATTGTGTACACATAAACCTTTAAAATATGTAAGCGAAGACTGAAGTGTTGTTCTGATTTTATAGACAAGAGATCCTCAGTGTTACAATAAAACATTACACTGAACAATGCAGAAGGTAAGTCCTGCACATGGGATACCACAGGCCAGAGATCTTGACCTCACAGTTACTGCTAATTTAGCGTGGGACCCATAAGGGAGTCCAGCACTGTCATCACTATTCTCAACAAGATAAGATGATAACCTGTAACAACATCTGGAGATCAATAACAGAAATACTCGTTTCTCAGCTTGGTGAGCAAAAAGGATCAGGTCGGACATGAGGTTCACCTTGCGTAAATTTGATTTAGTGGTGGAATGAAACAAGGAACTGAGACTAGCAAAGACTGTGATGTATCAAAATAGATGACAACTATAGTCTTTCAAAACACAACTAATTTGCATGAGTTACAAAACTGGCAATTTAAGCTTCAATACGTGACAACCCATTTGTACTGTATAACCAAAGCATGTGAAGACATTTCTAGCAATGTCAAATTGCAATAATTATCTCCCTTTACAACAGGCAGGCAGGTTGATATAGAGTTGAAACCTTACTTTGCTGTAATTCATTTTTTGCAAAGAAGAGTCACTGAGTGTAGCTCAAGGAAGTGTGAAAAATAACATTACACACAGCTAGCATAATCTGTTCTAAATATACAAAGTTAATGTAAAGCCTATTTGCACCCACTATGGCTACAAAAATAAACAAACTGTAGTTGAATTAAAGATCACTTTGTAATACATCCACCTATTTTCTCATCGTGTTATCCAATACAGAGCCACAGGGACCCGGTGCCTATCCTGGCAAGCAGTGGGTACAAGGCAGGATACACCCAGACAGGACACCAGTCCATTGCAGGGCCCACAATAGAACAGACACACACACTTGAGCCAGTTTTCCCAGAGCCCACTTAATTTAGCAGCATGTCTGGACTGAGGGAGTGCCCGGTACAAAGGGGGAGATCATGCAAACTCCACACAGAAAGCACCCCAAGTCCGGAATTGAACCCATGTCCCTGGCGCTGCAAAGTAAGTGCCACACACTGTGCCACCAAGGTGCCCATTACTTTATAATTCCAATTCAAAAACAGGACAGTACAGTTTAATGCACGCAAACGTAAAGGATTACCATCTTTTTGCTATGCTGTCTTGTGGGATGAATTGCTATAATCTTACCAAAAGAAAGACAAGCTCTTTTTTGTACTACAGACGTTTCTAAAATGCTCAGTGGTGATGTGTGCTGGCTGAATACGTAAATTGAAAGGTATTCCACAATTGTATGATACTATATACTTTAATACATGACCTACAATAAATCTGGAGCTGGTAAAAGGGTAAGGAGGCCACAACCAGTGAGGAGTTTAGCTGAGAGGAACCAAGACCTCTGCAGAAAAAACACAGCTTGCCTACATTCTGCAAGCAATACTCCAGTCCCTCTGCTAATCCTTTCTTTAAGAAATCCATGTCTGCTTTAGTAAATCCACAATGTTTTTAATTTGAACTCACCTCTTCATAACAGAATTCTCAATAACAATGCAGCTGCTACATAAGATAAAATGAAGCTTTAATAAGGAAGAATCTTTGAGCTAATTGCAACACTTCAGTATGGGAGTCAAATGAGGCATTATTAGGACGCCTGATGCAAATGGTCATCCCTCAGTCCTGTTACTACAACTATATAAATTATTACACAAAATCTTCAATATATCTTACAAAATTATGTCTTACAGATTTTTTAAAAGAGATCTTAAAACTGTCACGTGCTGGCATCTTAAGTGTTACAAGAAAAAGGAATGTACACAAAGTAATTCCATACCATTTTGTTAAAAAAAACAGAAACTGCAAAATCTGTTTAACCATCCAAGACCTGTTTTGAAAAGTGTAGACTTTGAATGTTAGTCAGTCTTTCCTTTTTTTTGAGGAAACAATGTACTGTAGGCCACAATACATTTTCTTTTAAAACCCAGACCAAGGTCAAAAGAAACTTCCTATAAAATAATATGACCTCATGAGGCATGGCCTTTCTAATGATATTTCTCTGCATGCGTTATTTGTACCTTTTTTGCTTGTAACATGGCTAAGGTGTGTTTTTAAACTATTGTGCGAATCAGAGTGACACATATATAGCAGAATTTTTCTATTTGTTTCACACCAAACACATTATCAGAAACTAATTTTAGTCTAGAACTTTATCCATGGATTACACTTCTAATTAACGGAGGAAATGTTTCCATTATTTGTTGTAAAAAAAAGTCTATCAGCATATATAGACACATTCCACACTGGATTTTCAAGAATGTTCAAAAGTTATGTTATGTTTCTTTGAAATATGTGAAAATACAGTAATAACAAAAATAATTATTTTAAACTTTCAATAACCATAAGCTCTTTTGTGTTCTAAATCTGAGGGTTTTTTCCCCAATAAAAAGAACAGTAAATTCACCTACACACTGTAAATTGACAGCATAACTGTTACAAATAACTACTGCATAAAAGGATGTAATCAGCTTTAAAAAACTTTCTTCAAAAGTATTTTTTTCACATATGTATTATATCTATAGCTTTTAAAGATAATACCACATTTCAGTGTAATGTTAAAATAAATTATCAGAGAGTAAATCAGTCCATGACTAGTTTATGGTATTTCTTCCCTATTTACACAAACGCTGAAATAATTTACTATATATTTAAATGACAGCTTATATAATGAATATGAAGCACCTGCCCCCTACAATCCTATTACATAGAAAAACAGTATCTAATTTCTCTCTATTCTAAAATACAGTAAGTTTTATTAAATGGTGCGCTTGAGAGACAGCAACGACACAATTTCTTAAGAAAGTACACCTCTGTACTGAATGAATTCATTTCCCACGTCAGTTTTGTAAGTCTAGCAGATATAAACCTCTTGGCCTCAGTCAAATCAAACACATTTTATTTATAACTTTAAAGTTTATTGGAGGACAGAGTCGTGAAGCAGTGTTAAAATGTATTTTACCATGCGACCCAAAAAAGGTTCCAGCAATTTTTTGATAAAGATATTTTTTCTTCATTGCTGACTCGCTTATTTTGGTGAGCTCCAATAAAATAAACACAGGAAGGCAGGTAAACAGGTAGTTTTGCATTTATAAAGTGTGTTTTACTTTAGGCAGGATCTAAAAATGAACTTATGAAAAGTCAAATTTAAAACGACGCGCTGTGCTATACTACACCAACTTTATTTTAAAAATACTGCCTTATTATTCCCCAAAGCATCAAGATCTAACTTAGGTTCGATAGCGAGAAAGTAAAACACGATAAATCATAATAATCAAGTATGTACCAAGAATTGTCATTCAATCTGCATACTTAAAACATATGCATCTAAATAGATTAAAAATATTATACACCAACTAAAGGGCTTTTCTAACACCTACAGTAGATCCTATGGTACATAAGGTAAACCGAACAGCATAGAAAAGTATTCACCAACATTCAACTGACTCTTCACACATCAAATCAAATACTGCTACTGAAATGAAATGCCCGCCACTTTCACTTTCATTCAATTTAAAATTAATAATAGCAACATTTAATTGCTCGTCATTTACCTCTGTACTTTGCTGTTTTATAGTTAGGAACATTTTAATTGAACAAGCAAACCGCGAACCGTCAAAGTACTCAAGGTTCCCTGTTGACAGTAATTTACTCATCAATGAAAAATGCCTGCAGACAGCAGGAACAATGTAGTTCACTGTAGCATATTTCCAGTTTTAAAAATAATAGATAAACCGTACAAAATCTAAAGAAGTGTGTGATTTTACTATTCTGGACCTTGTAAATTAATTATCCTCACATTTGAACATTGAAATGAAAAGTACATCAGTATCTGGGATTGCTCAGAAAAATTCACGTAAAACACGCCAGATGGTTTTAAACTGAAACGATTTGATCTTTAAAACCTTTTTCCATGTTTGCACCAATTTTAAAACGACAAAATCGAAATTTTCACAGCTACGAGTTCTCTTACACGTTCATCCGTTTAAGAAAATATTAATTTAATCATAATGTGAAAAATGAGTGTTGTTTCCCCGGGGGGGTGCAAACACTCCAGTTCCATCATTCAATTTTACAAATATAGTACGTTTTTTTGTTTACTTTTAATTGAAAAGTGCACAGTTCCTTAGGCCTACTTTGCACAATTCTACACAACTTGAGGTGAAGCAACACTCGTAGTAAACAAACTTGTCCTGTCAACTGGTTTTAAAGAGCTCAGCAACAGAACTGTACAGAATTGTTTTAAAACTAGGATTTCACTAAAAGCCTTTGAGGGGGCAATGCATGTCTGTCGCAACATGTGAACTTGCAAATAGTTTTCCATGTTGCCTTACAAGTTCATGTAACGGTTACTGCTACAGTACCTACCCCCTCCCCCTTAACATGGATAGCACAATGCAGAACACACATCAATACTTTGTTTCCTAGAAGAGCCGAGTCGTGTGGTGCGTTAATACATTCGTGTTGCCACAAAAGTTTCCTGCCGGTGGCATTCAAAAGACTGGGTATATGTGTGTCTGCCTTTGGGGACCTACCTGTTCCCTGGAAATACAAGGCAATGAAGGTCTCCTGGGCATTTTACAACTGCCATAATAACTTGTTGAGGTTTCTCCCAAAGACACACAACTGGACCTTCTCCTAGGTCTGATCACGGGTACTTTCTCCTCAGCGTTAGCGATCCTGTGTGGCGCTTCCCGTGGTAGGTAATAATGATCGAAACAGAGTGCCAGGAGAGAGCCCGAAACCCCTGCGAGACAAGCCAGAAGGGGTCTCAGAGGCTTGGGCAGGCATTCGAGGCTAGTGAAGGAAACGAGCCAGACCAGACTGGCAAAAACCAAGATCAGAACACTGTATCTGAGTTTCAAAGTGGGGATCAGTGTCAGTATGCCCACACAGCCCAGCACAAAGAGCAATCTGCCCACCATTTGCATCTGATGCTGATTGTCTTCCCAATGCAAAAACTGCAAGACCAAGAAATCCCCCAAGTAGCATGATGCTGGTAGCGATACCAGCCAACATCTGTAACTTTCCCTCTTCTTCCTCCGCAGGTAAAACGTTAAAAAGAAGAATGCACAGCCTATGCTAAAGAGGGGACTGACGGATTGTGAGAAGACCAGCAAAAATGACTGCAAAGTCCGCAGAAGCGAAGAGCTCGGTCCACTTTGCAGGCTCCTGGAAATCAGTAGCGAAGCTGCAAAAACTGCGATTGCACCAAAGTAAAGAGCCGAAGCCCGAAATCGTCTTGAACCTATTAAATCCGCATTGCAAAACCTGCAGACGTTAAATAAAAAGCCCCTTTGGTGGTCTTGTTTTAAAGGGGTGACGCAGCTCTTCACATAGCCGTTTCTGAAGCTTTCTGTGCTGTTTGCATTACCAACACCGTCGTGGTGTTTGATTTTACTGTGCAGTACCTCTCCTTCTTCCCTCACAGCCATGTTTCGAATTGTAGATCCTTTAATTCCGACAAAAGTATCGTTCCCCCCCTGTTTTCCTCGCCGTATTATTGTACTATTACATGACAGCAAACGCGGTCCATGGTCACTCAAACGTACTCGAGCATTTTGGGTAAAAGGAAAAGAAGGTAAAAATGTTGTTTTTTCATGAAGTTAGACTCAATGTCGCCTCCCAGATGTCACAACCTGCAATACTGATTACTAATACAGTGCCGAGGGAACCCTGAACGCGCGCTCTGCAGCACCCAGAACGCGCGCCGTAGCCCTTGAAGCAGTTTACTGTACTTCCTCTGGGTCCCCCAGAAAACCGCGGTAATACAACACGTATTCAATGCTTAAAGTTATACATTAATAAGAAGAAAATGATGGTATTAGATCTAACTTCGCAAACTTGTATAGTACTTTTTAGTTTCACTATATCCATCATATATCCATCTATCTTCAGAAGGTTACTCAGTCCCAGTAAGGTTTAAGGCATCCCAGCATGGGGGTTCAGGGTGAGACTACACCCTAGAATGAATGCCTATTTATTGCAGGATATGCGCGCGCGCACACACAAACACAAGACAGCACACAGGGGTAAATTAGTGACACCATGTAACCTATACACGACCTAGCCAACATGTCTTTGAAGGATGGGGGGAAAGCCGATCACCTGGAGAACGACTCACGAAGGAGGACATGCAAGCGCTGTGCGATCGATCAATCAATCAATTTTATTCTCATATACAGTAGCATCTTTCAACACTCTCAAGGCAGTGGTCTAGGCTGGAAGTGACCTCAAAGCCCAAGGTCTGTGAGGCAGCTGCTCTCATCTCATCATCCAGGTGGATGCTGCACATTGGTGGGGGTGGAGGAGAGTCC